GCAGCCCCGCCGCGGCCCGGTACCCCGACCCGAGAACAAAAGTGGCGGTGCGGAGGGGCGCAAACTCGCCGGTCCGCGGCTTGGGGCTGCCGGCCCCGGGGCCGTTCCGGCCGGACGCCCCTCCACCTCTCCGCCCCCGCGCCCAGCCAGACGCGAGGAAAACGGGCCGTGCTGCCCAAGGCCGGGGTTGGAGAGACTTTCCGGTGGGAGGAAAAAAAATGTCCATTTTTTTTCGTTTCTTTTCTGTTCTGGCTCTCGGTGCTCCCTCTCTTCCTCTACTCCCTCTTCCCTGCCTCGGGCAGCCTCCCTCTCCTACTTTATTTACATTGTCTGCCATGCCCTCCCGCCGCCCTGCACACCAGCGCGGCTTCTTGGGAGATTGCGTTAGTCCTGTCGCCAGATTCCCCCACCGTCTGATGGCCACCGTGTTGTTTAAACAGTATGAAAATTGATCTCTTGACTCTTCCTTTAATAATCTTTTTTTTTTTTTTACACTCACAATTAAACTCTCAACAGATGTCACTGGACTTTTTAAGGCTGTTGTTAAAAATCGTAAACACGCCCGGTCAATGTGACATAAAACAGTTATAAGTACAGCTTGCCGAGGTCGTATTCCAAAACTCCCAGCCCACAGCGAGGTTAATGTCTCCGAGTCGAAATTACCATGGTGGAGTTACCATCCTCATCAATTATCGGCCAAGTGCTTTGTGCCCTCTCCATAGCATCCTGGTATGTTTGGAAGACGCTGGGGGCGGGGGGTGGGGGACGGTGCAGTCGTCTTTCAAAGGAAACGTTTAAACCAATAAATCAGTATAACTTCATATTCCTGCACAGCACAAGATACAACGCAGGCGCACACGATCCACAGATGCCCCGCTCCGGCATATGCCCACCCGCCACACGGCACTTGTCAGAAGTTGTTGGAATGTTTTTTCAGGTCAGGACCCCAGTGTGGCTCTGGCCTCCGTTTGGGCTTTTGCCACAAGTGACTTACGTGTTTGTCCCTTGGGCACCCAGATACCAGGGGCCTCTCATCTCTGACCCCAGTACCAGCCTTTAGAAAAAACTCAGTAACGGATCCCTGGTTAATTTGTGAGCTTTGTTATCCCACGCAAAACTAACACATGTTCTAAGTGGTCATGATCCATTTGGTCTAGCACCAA